GGCGGTCCACTTTTTTTTTGAAAAAAAAGATGGGTGGTTCTTTTAAAGTTGGGGGGGCGCGCCCCCCCCCCCCCCCCCCCCCCCATTACAGACAGGGCATCATTACAGACGTCAGCAACCGCATACGAAAGGCTTCAGATTCTATACAGTATTCTAATGCATTCATAATTATTTGAAAAAAAAAAGTGCTTTTCAGTTTGCAAATAATGCATTAGAATAACAAATTGGAAGGATATACGTGAGTTTCACATTTCAGCTCCAAAGGAGCTGCGCAGACAAGCTTTTTTATCTCACTTTTCGATAATATTAATCTTGTCGGAAGACTCAAAAAGTGATAAATAGAATAATATTAAAGATATATAGAGTAAGTTTTTTCTGTACTCCGGCTAAGAGAAGTTTTCTAACCTTTATTAATCATTCCAGATTAATGAACATATAAAACAATAGAAGGATATATGATTTCATGATATTCTGTACTTATTTTTATTACGATGTAGAAAAAAGGTAACTCTGTATAACTCTTTTTTAAAGAATAACACAATAATGATTATCTTCTCGTATTACTAATACTCCATAATCCTCTATACATATAATCCCGATAAGTGTATGCTATTCTATTTCTTTGAAATAATTTCATTAATATCCATTTCAATTGATGATATAAAAAAAAGTAGTTCACAAATTATCTTGAATAACTACATTATTATTTCTCTTGATTGTTTTTTTTTATTCCCTTATTCCTTTTATTGTATATTTTGGTTCTTATACGAAGACTTAATCAGAAATGGATTATAAATTCCCGAGTCGATGGAATATGAATATGAAAAAAAGAAAAAAAAAAACTCAAACTTATTTCAGGACTATACCGTCATATTTCTACTAATATTACAAAGATAATTAATGTGACATATCGAATTACTTTCTCGAATTTGATAACATGTATTGTATTTATTTATAGTGAATATATTAACTTTCCAACGAATAATAATTCAAGTCTTACATCAACAGTACCATCGACTAATAATGAATCAAACAGCACTGGATCTTCTGATTTAAATTTTCAAAAAAATATACAATCTATAGGCAGAGATTTTGCTCCAATATTCTTCATACTAGCAATAATATTTGTTCTTATACTTCTTGGACTTATAAACATATTACATAATCATTATTTATTTCCAAGTAATAATAATAATAATAGATTTCATAGTGGAAGATGTAATAATAATGCTATTTATTCTCAATTAACATCTGAAAATAATTTTGATTTAAATTAGAACTTTTTTTTTTGTATATTTTTCTTTTATTTATTAATATTTTATGAATAATTTTTTGTTTAAAATGAAGATATTACGTTAGATTTTTCTTTTTATTTGAATTTATGAACAGATCAAACAACTTATTCGATTCTTTCCACTTGTCATGTCAGTTTGCACAATATTAATAAAAAAAATGTGATAGACAACTTGCAAGCAAAAAATCATTCGTAGTAAAAAGAAAAAGAACGAACAACGAGTTTCTTATAAAACGAATTTTCTTTCGTTGTCGACAACATATAGTATTTTACTTTTCTTTTTTTTTTACACATCGTCTCAATTGCAGATCACCAATTTACCTTGATTTAACAGCCTCTGAAACCACCGATAATCACTGTTATACGTGTGAGCTATTTATATATCAAACTACAATATCTAATTCAAACATTTTGGTAATTTTTGTAGTAGAAAAAAAAAAAAAAAAAAATAGGAAGACAAAAATATAATAAACAAGTGAGATCTTATTTTATATTTTTCAATTAAAAATATATTATCAAATTATTTTGGTTTATTTGTATTTAAAACAAAAATGAATCGTGGTCTTATAGTTATTCGTTATCGAAAATCTACACATATCGGTTTAACAAGTTCATATACTTGTGTATCTGTACAAATTTTTTATTTAAACAATGTCAATCGATATATATAAAATAGATTTTTAATTCCTGACATTTATTTCATGTTATAATCCTTAAACTTTATAACAACTAAGAAAAACCTGGCTAATCATCAACAAGATGAATGGGTAATCATCGAAGACGAAGAAAAAGAAAAAGGTAAAAATTATCAATATGCATAATTTTCAATGTCTTGATTGTGTAATACACTAAAATGAACTACATACATTATAGTCTCTTTAGAGTTCTATTGATAATAATTGTTTTTTATATGCAAATGAAAATTTTGCTATACAATTCTCGCACATACTCGAAACAAGAAAAAAAAAGAAAAGAAACATAAAATGTTCAGTCTACACTTGAAATGTATTTTAATATATTTTTTTTTTTGCCTCTTTTATTAATACAATCAAAAAAAATAGATGATGACTTCAACTTTAAAAGGATATTAAAGTTCTTTTGTTTTTTTGTTTTATTTCTTTGTCATGTAATCTGAATTCGAATATTTGTCAAAACTATTGAAAGATGAGATTATACTTTATCATTATGTGAAGGTGTCAATATCCGGATTAATCTTCTAAGAACAAATACGTTGTAAGATATGTTTATAGGCCCATACTAGAAGATCAATCGATCAAAAAGAAAAGGGTAAAAGAGTACTACTAGACAGACACATACACATAATACATAAGGATTAGATCGGATAAAAATAGATGAGAAAAAAAAAAAATAAATTGAACAATTGAATACAGAAGTGCCAATGATTTATGAAGACTGTCTAATCTTTCATCTTTGTTAAGAAAGAAGCCATTCGAATGTTACCTTCTATATTAATGGAGATTCTACTAACTTCTTAAAAGTAATATTGATATACTGTAAAAAAAAAAACACAGTCTTGATCTTTTATGTTACTATATATGTTCTTTTTGATTTATTGATATAAGTTTACAATACTATCAAGTATGAAATTCTGTCCTTGCTTTTGACTTATTTCTTCAAGGATTGTCGTTATATGTAATTTAATATATAAAAACATATTACCTTCAATTAATATAGCAGAAAATATGAAGGTGTAATCAAATATTTATAATTGTTATTACCTTGTCTTTAACTCTTTATGCATTAAGTTTTTTGTTTTTTTTTCATTACAATATTTCAAAAACTAATTACTTCGAAAAGCGAACTAATATTTTTTATATGAATGCATAAGAGTATTTGCCTATTGTTTCTATAGAATGGCGACACATACTATTACGATAAATTTTATGTACTTAATATGTTTTAGAAGCATGTTCAGCTATCAAAACAAAAATAGTTATCAGAATAACCTGGGGAGTTTTTCTATCAACCAAAGAGTACTGAAGCATTAATGAGATGAATAATCATTTCTATATCTATATGTGTTCATATCATATTTCTTTTACCTTATTGAACTAATAGAATGATAACAAGTAGAATAATTCATTGCTCGCAATATAAATGAAGAAACTACAGGAGGTATCATCCATAGTCTATATTATCGTAACATTAGCAGCAAAAAAAAATAATTTAGAATAGAAAGAACTGGAATCAATATGTATATCATATAAAAAAAAAGAGAGAAAACGAGTTTCATCTGCTTTCTTTTCATGAATGTGTATATATATATACTTCAGTTTATTGGCATATTGATCGTGCCACATATGATGCTCAATGGGTTAATGCATTATATTCTTTTCCTTCATTTCTCTTTTGTTCTTATCTTTCATATCAGATAACGCTCTATTGCTTCTCGGTTTTTTTCCATTGTTCTATGATATATTGCTATATGAACGATTAGTGCAGGTGACAAGCTCATTATATATTAATCCAGAACAAACATTATTTAGCGTTGTTATTTCACTTCAAAGTCGATATTAGATAAGATGAATATTCCAGGTAAATAAATCGATATGTCGTTTTTTTTTTCTATAATGAATAGCGATTAAAAGTAGTGAATACATGATGAGGTACAAATTTTAAATGAGACGAATCGTATAGGTTATGATTTTTTTCCAATGGGGTCATAAAACATAATACACGGAAATCATGATGAAAGCAAGTATTTAGATATGTCGGGTACCTGTATGTGTGTTCTGTCTCAGTTGTCTATAAAGGGTATCAAGTATATATGCCAGAGAGAGAGAGAGAGAGAATGTCCGTTTTATAATTCTCAATCACGGATTTTTTTAAGTACGTAGTCAATTACTATTAAAACATTTTTGCAAATCATATTCTTTTTCGTCCTTCATTCTTCTTCGCAGAGATGTCGTAGTACGGTAAAAGAAGCAAAAAAAAGGCACAACCGCTAATGGTTGATGACCTCGCATAAAATGAAAGTGAATGTATGTGTGCGGCAAAGAAGAGAAAAGAGTCGTCAATATTTCTCTTTTTTTTTTTAACAACACACACGGACAATACTAATAAAAAAAAAGAAAAAAAAGCATAGAAATGAAATAAAAACATCAATTCTTTTCTGCATATCATTGGTACGTGGTGGCGGCGTTGATTATAAACAATGAATCGCATCGATGAAGAAGAAGATTTTAATGATATTACGAAAGTAATAGTAACAGGTGAAGAGAAAAACATTATATAAAAATATTAAAAAATCTATTCCACTCTAATATTTATCGATAAATTAATAATGTAAACTAATTTGTACCTTCCATTTTTGCGTTACGAATTTATCCTACATCCTTCTTTTCTACATAACAGCATAGTTATTGATATGCCTATATATATATATATATGATTGAACAGATGTCAATTTAATCTTTACTTTAGTCGATCAATATTCTTCTGCTCAACTATCTGCAGACTGTAGTAGTCATAACATTTATTTAAACAAATACTCCAATAACAAGTTCGATCGTTCGAAATACCAAACAATAAATCGACCGACCTCTTTACCACCCGCAAAACATTTTTCTTCTATGAATGAGAACTTTGATGAAGATATAAAACAACGTCGACGATATGCAAGTGATTCGAATACGAATAATAATAAATATGATTCAACTTTACTTGTTACTTCATTTCTTCAATATCTACGTAATGAATTAAGAAAATCAACAAATGATAAAGCAAATGAATATTGTCGACATACAAAACAGGTAGAGAATAATATTTTTTTTTTTATTTATTGAAATCAGAATCAATCAAATATTTGTTGTTTTCAATCTTTGAAATCAATAATATAAGTTTTATCAAAATCTTGTCATTCATTTCCTTATTTTCAACGTTAAAAAACAAATTTTTTTTTATTCAAATTGTTCGTTCGTATGTAATTAAATATTTTTAATAGAAATAGTCATCTAGTTATTTTACATTTTAATACATATTAAGTGTATTTAAAGTAAATTAACGATTCTAATTTATGTAGAAATCATCAAAAAATATAATTTCATCATCAATAATAACGTCTCAATCGATTATAATGAATGCTCAAGAACGAAATGAAAATTCATTCGAAATTAATGAGCATAATGAAATATTAACACTAATTAATTTACTTGTTCTACGTGTTGAATGTTTATCAAATGAAAGAAAATCAAAAAAACGTAAAAGAAAAAAAGATAAATATCCAACTGTTGCAGAAGTTGACCAAAATTTAATTGAATATCTTTATTATCTTTTCAAAAAATTTATTAATGATGATACAAATATATCAAATGATGTAAAAACACCAATTATTGATAAAAATAATTTTGTTAGTGTTTGTCAAACATTAGTACGTAATGGTTGTTTTGATATGCCATCAACAACACTATTAAAATCACCAAATCAATCATTTTCGGACTCACTAAGTGCTAGTGAACATACATCAATTTCACAAACAATTGTACATGAATATTATCCAGATACAAATCAGATTGTAGAAGAAAAATCATTGACAAATGATCAAATATCTCCAATGATATCAACTGAAAAAGAAACATGGCTTATTGTAGACTTTGCAACTCGTCAATCCGAAGAAACCCTAAAAGCCCCTGAAGACACGGTGAGTTTTTATTGTATATATATATAAGCAAAGGAAAGAATTTATCTTTTGTACTTTACAATTCATTTCTTTATTCAAATTATTCTTTTGAATCTAAAAAGCTTTAAAAGTTATTAATTTTTAAAATCGATCAGTAGTATGATGTTCGCCCTGTTTGTAAGGTGATGAAAAAAAAAAGTTAAAACTATGATTAGAGGCTGTCGGGTCGAAAATTTTCAGACTCGGACTCGATCCGACAGGTTCTAACTGTGATGGCAAGCTTCTAAAAAATTGAACACTGTAATTTTCAAGCTCTGTAAGATGACTTTATAACAATTTCATTTGAAAGAGCAGAAGTATCTGAATGAAATGAGAGGCCACCGTATTCTCTATAACCTTCTTTTAAAAAGTTAAAAGCCTCACAAAAACAAAACGATGCGTTTTTTACTCAATGTTTTCATAAATTTCGTCTTTTTTTTTACGGTTTTTATAATGCTTTCAACTTTTAAAAAGAAGGTCGTCGAAGATGTCGTGAACCTTCATTGTGCTTAGGATTTTCTACTCTTGAAACTTGCATTGTTAAAAAGTAGGTCTTCTAGGACGTGAAAACGACCGTGTCAGAGTCTTTTTTTTTACAAATCTTGCAATAGATCGAATTAAATAGAAAACTCTATTGACTATTAAAATTACCTTTTTGATTTGAGCTCTTATTGCTTAACATTATACAAAAGAAAAACTATGCTGTTATTAAACTTTTTTTAATTTTATTAAATCTCTCGTAATTAATTTTATGACGTACAATCTAATACAAGTGTTGAAATGTATCGTATAGAAATCTTGACCTACACCTCCACAGACCATGATAAACACCTTGAGAATCCATCATAGACGGTGACAGAAGCCAATTGGAGGCCATCACATAGGATACCATGTACTCTTGATATACGATCACAGAATGTATGTCAATAAGAGCTTCTGATAATATATTAACTTTCCTTATTGTATGTCTGAAGGATTAAGTAAAAGGTGGTTGAAGAAATATGTCCCAAGATATATAGAATAAAACAATATCCTTGTGATTAACAGCAGCAGCCACATCATGTTTCACATATTAATCCTACAGAGATTGTGCTAATAACTTTTTTCTATTTATTTTTACAAAGTTTTTTTGTATTGCCTGCATGAATTTATCTTATGCGGCAATCATTCGAACTTATATCTACTGTGTAGAGTCATATTCTGCTTACAATGACGTATTAATGAGACTAGCAGAAGTCTAAAAGTGTTTGTTTCCATGAGTCGTTGAAGTGAATTTATAAAATATTCCTTTGTCAAGAATATTGAATTTCCAAAAAATTTGACATTGATAAAAATCGTATTTACTTTAAAAAAATTCAATATCTCGAAAAAGGAACATTTTTTTGTTTCAGCTCAAACATTCAATATATTCTATAGATCATTAGACCTATTTATAGACAAAATTTCATGTTGAAGTACTTTCTTTTTTTTCCTTACGAAACTTTTAATTATTACTATAAGCATTCTTGTCAAGTAGTACAAGGTCGATCGGTCAAATTTTTTGTAGACTTCAATCGTCTACTCTTGTCATTCTTTCATCAACATAATTCCATTAACTAAAAAGGTTTCATCGTCATCGTCTGACGGATAGATTTTAATCTTTTGCTCTCTTCTGAAATTCTTTCACACGAGCTTATTACTACTACGACATAAATAGATCTGAAGCTATTAATAGAATTTTTCTCGAGTCTCATACGATTGACTAATACAAAACTAGTTATGTTATGATATAAGTCTTTGTTTCTTTACGTCATTGTTCCTATATGACAAGGACTATTAATATCAATAAAGAAATGAGTTCAACCACATATTGTGATTTGTTAATTGATATAATCCACGACACTACATAACACTAATAATGGTACATACAATTTGGACATCACAAATTGAATTATTATCTAATCCAATTCTTATCAGACAATAGAGTAAGTTTTACTATAGTTTGATTGTAGCCGGTTGTATTTATTTAAGATTAATAATGTTAATCACATCTCTTCAAGAATACGTTGATGTAATGAAAAAAAAATAGAATAAAAATTCAATTAATTTATATATAGAATTTCATCAAGGAGACAAAAGTCTATGATAAGTTTATAAATAATAATTTGAATTCTTTGTTTGATTGTTTTTTTTGTTGATGAAATGAAACCTTGATTATTTATATATATATAAATTTGTAAAAACAAAATTATTTTAAATTCCAAGGATAATAATATCATGTTTATATTAATATTTATTAATAGAAATAAAAATATTGCATTATCATGTTCGTGTTTCCTTTTGTCTTGCTTGTCCTATTCTTCTTCTAATAAATAACCTCCAATTTAACCATTTGTTAAGCCTTGAGCATAGAATAGACATAGATTATATTGACCTTTATATATTCGAGAATAGTTTTCTCATTTATCATCATTACTTGATGACCATTATAGTGGAAGAATAACAATGAATATATATAAAACTTATTCACGCCTATTTGAATATCTTTGTTAATCATCAAGAAAATATATTTCTCTTTTTCTCTACTATGAACACGATATATCATTCATCTATATGAAACATTTGTCTTATTCTATTCAAGTCTTCACTACCAATACAAACGCTAGATGAACAAGTATTCATAACTAATGATATTTATAAATCATGCGAATCGGAATCATCACATAGCATTTATTTATCGCCGAATTCTTCATCAATTGATTTGCAAAACATGGTACTAGAATTCGATGAAATAAATCATCATTCTGACACATCATTCAATGAGGGTAAGTAATTTTCTTTTTTTATTATTCTATTCAGATCAAATAACATTAAAAATAAAAAGCAAAAAAACATTGATGAATTCTATATCAATAGATGGATCATCATCGAATATCATCAGTGAATCGAAAACAATAATAACCAATGATTTATCAAACGATGATATTCAATCTTTGTCTATAACAAGCAATACCATTTGCACAAGATTAACTAATGATACTAGTTCGATTGAGAATAGTGAACAGATGACAACAAATAATACCGATAAAATGTCTCGACGTGAAAAAAGAATGCACGAACGTTGGTCAACATCAACAAAAACTGATAAGAACAATAATGAACAATCATCAACAAAAACAATATTAGGTATAGAATTTCCACCGATTGCTGTTCTTCGACGAAAATTTTCATCATCAACAAATAAACAACATACGAATAAAAATGAAATAAATCCAGATGATAAATTGAATTCACCTATATTGATGACTGTGAAGGTTAGTAGAATTTCATGAATAATTAATAAAAAAAAAAAAGTAAAGAAAAAAGAAGCAAACTTTTCATAAAATATATAAGATTTTTCTATGCATAAACAAATTTAAGAATAAGATCTCAATAATAAATTCAGTGTATGAAGATGAAAGGTGATGTAATCATAGCTTAGAGTGTACTAATAAAAGAGACAGCAGGGAAATCACTCCAGGAGTCTCACTTGTTTGTTGTTGGCTTCAATTATTATATTTTACAAAAAAATATGCTAATAGAATTGCTTCGGGTATTATAGAATGAATCCCATATGTAAAGAAACTCAAGTATGATCAAATAAATAGGAAATAGATCATCTAGGGAATTGAATTGGATTAAAATGTGGACATTTATAAGACACTTAAATGCTCTTGATAATCAATATAAGTTATTGAATTTATCAATGGATTTAAGTAAGAGTGTTCTTTTATTGAGCGAATATTTTTACATTATAACCTTGAAATATCTGTAATGTTGTCAAACTAACTTATCGAATTGATTTTAATCAAACATTCGATTAAAATAGACAGATGATAATTGTATTGATTATATTTAGATTTTTATCTCAATTCTTTTTTTGTTTTGTCTCTGTCTCTAATCGTCACAATAAAAACTCAATGAACTAATAAAAGCGTGACTAATTACACTGTATTGGTCAATATCAATCTCAAATAACTCTGTACATTAGATTGTTTTAATTATTCGTCCTTGAAAAATCAGTGAATTTCAAAATACAATAACTCTAAAAGTTTCCTTGACTGATTTTTCAATGGTACTAGTTACATGTAGAGTTGTTTGTTCAATAGTTCTATACATTCATATAAACTAAGACTAGTACTTTAGACAAACGAACTATAGACTTTTTTTTCTCTCTTTAATGTGATGATAAATAGCATGTTTCAAAGTTTGAATGTATATTCAGCTGTATGTCTTTTCTTTGATTATTTGTAGGAGATTAACACATTGCCAACGACAAATACAGTGGAAGAAATGAATCTTGATCAAACAGTAGAATTGCCATCGAAAGGTAAAAATGAAAAGAAAGTTAAAACGAAGAAGAAAACATAAGAAAAAGTAAAAGAAAACAAAACATCATTACTTTCTATTATTCATAAGTAACCGAAAACAACGTGAGAATTAAAATTTTCATCATTACTAATCATTATTCCATTAAAAAAAGAAAAAAAAAACCTACACATATACATAAATACATGTACACCAACGCACATGAAAAAAAAACAAGCTACAAGGTCAACAAAATCCTTTTTTATTTCACCTATCTTATATTCGGTCGATTTCTTCGTTTTTTTTTCTTCTCTATTGGTGTTGTCAATTGATTGATCGCTATCGATCTCGTTTATTAAACGTGGTCAAGGATTGAACCTCCCACATAAGTTATATCGAAACGAAAATTATCTTTTCTCATTCGATTGACATCTAATTTATCTATTTAGATCTATCATTGTTGATAAGTACGAATGTGGATAAAAACAACGATGATGGACAACTGCCAGTAACTACTATATCAGAAGATATTTGTTTACCAGAAGAAGAAACAACGATGAGAAAAAAACAAGGTCCATTATCACCAGACACAGATTATCAAACAGAAACATTAGCAAATATTCATAATGATAATCAGCAAACTAATAATGAAAATAGTTCGATAATAATAACTAATACATTGGACTCAAATTTATTTTCATCTTCTTCTTCTCCTTCTTCTTCTTCTTCTACATTAATATCAATATTTCCTTCTTCTTTAACGTCATCTACGAATGAGAGCAAAACTATCGAATATTTACCAAAAGAAAAAGAAGAAAAAAAAGAAGAACAACAACATTGTGACGACGTCTATAACGTCGGGGAAGAGAAAAAGAACAACAGTAGCTTCGTACATGACTATCACGCGTCGGGAATAATATTAAGAAACGACGAGCTAAGACAAACAGTCTTATTACAGCAAGAGAAAAAAGAAAAAGAAAAACGAGAGGAAAGAGAACGACCATCATCGCCATTACCGACACTAGAGCAATTCAACAAACAGCGGATAGAAGATGAGTCGCCAATACAAACGCTATCAAACAATTTAAATCAAATGGCAATGGCTAATATTAATCAAAATGAAGAACAATATAAAAAAGTTGAAATTGAAGAGGTTCCTGATGATGAAGAAGTCATATCAAAAAAACCAATTGATTCAATCGAACCAATTGATTACATTTTAACAGATGATGAACCAAAACAACCAAAACAATCTTCACCACAACCATATATAACTGTTCCTAGTGATGAACCATTAAAATTTGAAAATGTTTTATCATGTTATGAAAAAGCAATAGCTAAAATAGTCGATACACATGATGAATCATCGCCACTTTCGAATACATTATCCACAGAATTATTATCAACAACAACAACAACTCAACCATCGGCTGATGATCCTATTGCATTACGTGCGCTACAACGTTTTGAAGAACGCATGAATGCTGCTGTTGCTGCTAAAAATAATAAAGAAGAAACAAATTTTAAAACATCGAAAACTAAGTCATCATGGTCTGGATCACTTTCATCATCACGAAAATCACTTGATAATTTATTCAAAAATATTGAACAACAATTAAGTACAACTCCGATTACACTTGATAATGAATCAAAAACAATATTATCATCTCAATCGGATAGTTATATTCGTCCACGTAAAACATTTGATGATAGTAGTTTTAATTATGGTATAACATTCAATTCACTTGGTACGACAAGTTCAACTATTGACAAGACTAATACTGATGATCAAAAAGTAGACGAACAACAGCAGCCATCAACATTAGTAGAAAATGATGACAAACGCGGTGAGTGAATAATAAACAGCTGCTTGCATCGGTTTTTTTTTTAGTCTGCTGGACAAGTATCAATTACACTGTCAAATTGACGAGAAGCGATAACAGAAAGAACAGAATACCTAATCGTTCCAATGGCTTTCGTATTATTTCTCGTTCCCTTTAGAATGTTGATTAGAGGCCTACTAGTTCGTTTAGTGATTACATCAACACAAATTCTTTGAATGTCAAAGAGAAAAAAGAGCACAATAACACAGAAGATATAAACCTATTTGTACAACATGAAAGAGAAGAAAGGAATTCTATAATGAATATATGCTTTCTTTTTCTATTCAAACATCCATAAAAGTTTGTTTATTTTTTTACAACATTTTCTTGTTTAGTAATCTTTTCAATACATGATTAAATCAAATATCTTTAAACATTACTATATAGTTTAAAAAAGAAAAAGAAAGAAAACCGAAAGGAAGAATTAAGTACGGATATATAGAGCTTAATGTGACAGAAAAAGTTCATATTTGCTTTGTGCGGTGTTCGCTTTTATCGCCGCAATTGCAGCAATCAAATGTTTCTCTTCGCCTGCGCCCGCCCCCCCCCCCCGCCCCGCC